GGCGGTGATGAGGGCGCCGCTATGGTCACGAATCAAGCCTCCTCCTCCGGCAAGTCCAGTGTGGCGATCAAAGGAGCCATCAGTGTTCAGCTTGACCCACGGAGAGTCAGGTCTAAGCCAAACAACAACTCTGACCCGAGGAGGCCGAACAGGCGGTGGTGGGGCCACCATGTAGCGATGCGGTGGCGTGCAGCCTGTCCAGTCTCGGGTCGTGAGCCTGCCCAATGCGATGAGGAGTGAAATGTGTCTCTCTACCTGCAAAAAAATGTGAGAAAACATAAAAGTAATATCCCTATGCTTTGCACTATTCCTTTCTGTCCAGGTGAACTAAAGGATCAGACAAGGAATGAGGAAGCCCACGTGTCTAAGGTGTGTGCTCTGTGAGAAAAAACTCAGGAGCTCAAAAAAACTGTATGTGGTGGGTAGGGATATATGAGTCCAAGTGGCAAAATGCTCCCACACTCTCCTCACACTCTCACTCTCTAGAAAAAGGTGGGAGTCTTAAGTTGCTAGGTTATTTTTTTCTTGCTGCTAGGTTAGTTGTCTTAAGTTGCTAGGTTATTTTTTTCTGGCTGCTAGGTTAGTTGTCTTTTGTTGCTAGGTTAGTTTTTTCTTGCTGCTAGGTTAGTTGTTTGATGCTGCTAGGTTAGTTGTCTTTTGTTGCTAGATTATTTCTTTCTTGCTGCTAGGTTAGTTGTCTTTTGTTGCTAGGTTATTTCTTTCTTGCTGCTAGATTAGTTGTCTTTTGTTGTTAGATTTTTTTTTTTTTTAAGCAAACAACGCCCCGAGGGGCGAGGGATTAGGCTGGATCCCCAACCTGCATATAGATCATAGCCCTAAAATGGGCCAAAACACTCAACATAGTCTCACAATCCAAACAGTACAGTAACGAAAACAACAAATGAAAATAGTACAAGGTCTGTCATCGGGCTAACAGGTGCCCAGAATAAGTGGATGGTCTAATAAAAGCAGAAACCAAAAACCTAATCTACTGGTATCAAAACGATGGATATCCCAGCTGATCCATCCGAACTAGCGTGCGAAGGCGGAGTGGAGCAGTGTAGGTCTGATACGTGTGCGTGTCTGGTATGGTAGCGCCAAGGCTGGGAAGGTAATCAGCAGGTCTGTTCCCCTCACGGAAGATGTGTGTGATCCTGTAATGGACAGACCGAAGTAGATCTCTAATGCGCATAAGCGGGTGCTGAATCTGCCACGAGCCCTGATGACCCAAGGACAGGAGGGTGACGACAGCCGCAGCGTCCAGCTCAATCCAAATATGACTAGAGAGGTCGGCAGCAATCTGAAGGCCAATCTGTAATGCCTGAATCTCTGCATCGTAGCTCGAGGATGCCTGAAGGGACGTGTGGAAGGCGGTGATAAGAGCTCCACTGTGGTCCCGGATCAAGCCTCCTCCTCCGGCAGTACCGCTATGGCGATCGAAAGATCCATCGATGTTCAGCTTGACCCAAGGAGAGTCGGGTCGAAGCCAAACAACAGCTCTGGGCCGAGGGGACCGAACAGGCGGAGGGGGAGCCACCCTGTATCGGTGCGGTGGCGTGCAGCCTGTCCAGTCACGTGCAGAAAGCCTGCCCAACGCTGTGAGGAGCGAAATGTGTCTCTCCACCTGCAAAACAATGTGAGAAAGCAAGAAAGTAATATCCCTATGCTTCGCACTATTTCTTTCCGTCCAGGTGAACCAAAGGATCAGACAAGGAATGAGGAAGCTCACGTGTCTAAAGTGTGTGCTCTGTGAGAAAAAACTCAGGAGCTCAAAAAAACTGTCTGTGGAGGGTAGGGATATATGAGTCCAAGTAGCAAAATGCTCCCGCACTCTCCTCACAATCTCACTCTCTAGAAAAAGGTGGGTAAAGGTCTCGGTCTCATGACGTCCGGTCTCAGAACAACACACACATCGGGAGGGGAAGAAGATCCCCCTCGCATGTAACACAGTGTCCACGGGTATCCGACGCAAGAGGAGGCGCCAAAGGAAAACAGATATGGTACGGGTATCTGCTGGATCTTATTTAATAACTGCTCACTAAAACCAGCCTCGGAGCCCAACTCTCTATCAAGCTTCCCCCTATCCCACGACCCGTCCGTCCAAAGGTCGCGCACAAGCAGGTAGGGGGAATGCGACACCTGCCTATCTCTAGACAACGGCCTATCACCTAACCATCACTCATCCCAGAAACTAACCTCGCCATCCCCCAAAACCCAAAAAATGTGATCCTGGGCGTGCCTACCAACCATAGTGAGGCGCCGCCACTGTCTGCTATCATGCGCAACCGCTGTCACCCAACAAGGGTGGTTGGCGCGTCTAGAGCAGTACTTGCCGCGAAGGTACTGGGCCCAAAGCGACTTTCCTTCCCTGAAGCGCCACCACAACTTGTGTGAGAAGGCAGTAACAATATCCCTAAGGCGACGGATGCCAAGGCCACCCTCAGGGAGAAGGCGCCAGATAGAGTCCCAACTAACCCAGTGGGTACGTCTCCCCCTCCCCGAACCATCCTCGTAACCCCAGAAATAACGAGCCATGATCTGGTCAATCTCGTCAAGGGTGGACCTAGGAGGGTCGAGGACCATAAGTAAATGAAGCGGAAGGGAGCTAAGGGTGCTCTTGATCAGAGCAAGCCGACCACCGAACGAAAGATGTCTATGCGACCAACCAGAAATCCTATCGATAATCCTCTGTCTGATGCCCGCAAAGAGCGCTCTCGTGAGGTTGCCCTTATATAAAGGGGCACCAAGATAGGTAATGGGAAGGTCGCCGTGCGCAAAGCCAGTGATCTCGTGGACTCGGTGAGCCCACCTGTCCGCGCTGGAGGAGGAAAGGGTGAAGGTGCTCTTCTGCACACTGATCAGCTGGCCGGTAACCGAGCTATAATGCTCCAGAAGGTGCATAAGCTCGATCAACGCATCATCATCCGCACGAGTGAAGATGATGATGTCATCCGCATAAGATAAGTGCGAGACGGGGGGACCATAGCCACGGGTGCTATATGTCATCTGAGGATAGTCGCGGATAAAGCCGTCGAGGCAGCGAGAGAGGTAGTCCGCCGCAAGAACAAAATGGGACGGGGAAAGGGGGTCTCCCTGTCTAAGGCCTCTAGATGAGGGAAAAAAATCTGTGGGGCTGCCATTAACCAGGACCGAGAACGTGCAATGCTCCACACACGCCTCTACAAAGCTGATCCATCGTTCCGGGAATCCCATCCTAGCCAGTGCCCCCTAAGAAACGGCCACTCCACTCTATCATACGCCTTAGCCATATCTAGCTTCAGCGCAATGTTCGGAGCCCGCTTCCAGTATGCATGGGAGATATCGTGGATCATCTCCTGGGCCAAAAGTATGTTATCACTAATGACCCGATCCTTGACGAAGCCACTCTGGTTCGGAGAGATGAGGGAGTGGAGAATAGGGGATAGACGACCGTTAAGAATCTTCGAAATAAGCTTATTGGTCACGTTATACAGGCTGATGGGCCTGTAGTCGGACCAAGAGCTCGGATTGGGTCTTTTGGGAATCAAGACGACAGAGGTAGCCGTGAAGGAATCCGACATCCGGTGACCGGTGAAGAAATCCAAGACCGCCTCCTCAACATCAGGCTCGACTATATCCCAGCAGACCTGATAGAAGAGGGAAGAGAACCCATCGGGGCCAGAAACGCTGTTGGGATCAATCCAAAAACAGCATCCCTAACCTCCTCCCTGCTCGGAAGCTCACAGAGGTCGACAAGGTTGACCGAAGGAGGGATGGTGGGGAAGAGAGAGACGGTCGGGGCAACGAGGGACCATCTGTCAGAGGTGAAGAGGGTCTGGAAGTGAGCAACAACCGACTCCCGAATCTGAGACTCCTGGGTCAGGGATGACCCATCTGCCTCAATACTATGGATGTACGACTTAGCACGCTTCTGTCTAACGAAGCCCTGGAAGAACCTAGTGTTCCGCTCGCCCTCTGCCACCCAGCGAACGGCCGCCTTCTGCTTCCAGAAATCCTCCTCCATAAGGAGTCGGAGCTGGTACCCGGCGTGGCAACGGTGCATCGCAGTCCTATTCTCCGAAGTGGGATCCAGGTCATAGGCGTCTTTTGTTGCTAGATTAGTTATCTTTAGCTGCTAGGTTAGTTGTGTTTTGTTGCTAGGTTAGTTGTCTGTTATTTCTAGGTTAGTTAATTGTAGCTGCTAGGTTAGTTGAGTTTGTTGCTAGGTTAGTTGTCTTAAGTTGCTAGGTTATTTCTTTCTTGCTGCTAGGTTAGATGTCTTTTGTTGCTAGGTTAGTTCTTTCTTACTGCTAGGTTAGTTGTCTGATGCTGCTAGGTTAGTTATCTTTTGTTGCTAGGTTATTTCTTTCTTGCTGCGAGGTTAGTTCTCTGTAGTTGCTAAGTTAGTAGTTGCTAGGTTAGTTCTCTGTAGTTGCTAGGTTAGTAGTAGCTAGGTTAGTTCTCTGTAGTTGCTAAGTTAGTTGTCTGTAGTTGTAAGAGCTGGTCCCTTTTTAAGAGCTGATTCCATTTGATCCGCCTCAAATATATATCTCTCTTATCTATATATGAAAGAGTTATGCCTCTTCTATGAGTGACACATGTCCATTTTTGTGGTCTTCAAAAGTTGACAAGTGTCTTTTTTTTTTTACAATTTTGCCACTAAAATTTGAAGGCCAATTGGGTCAGTCAGATGGCACCTCAATTGGTATGTCTTTTTTACTAAAAGGGCCAGCTGCATTCACTACCTAATATCGCTTCATTTCTTCTCTTGTTGCCTTCCTCGCGGGATTTCCTCGTAGAAAATCTGGTAGCGTGTTCAATCATATACATCTTCCATCATTTCTTTACTGATTAGACTTCTTGAGGTTGTGTTCCTTCTGCATTTTGTGGCTTTAACATCTCACTCTTGCTTTCACTCTCTTCAGAGCAGACCATCCCACACGCAACAATGAATCAGTCAAAAAGCCCCCAAAAAAAGCTATGATTTCAATCTACGAAAAATCATCTCCGACGCTCTCTCTCTAGACTAAAAATCTCTCCGGTGATGTAAACCCAGTCACCCACCGCCTGCGGCCGCAACCATGGGCCAGCGCCACCAAAAGCGCCACAACCCACCCATCGAGAAGCACCTCACCGGTGACCCCACATCCAAGCCACTGTGGAAGTCCATTTCCTTTCCCAAGCTCCTTCCGGAAAGAGCAGAATCGCCTAACGAAGCCGCCACCTCTCCCCGGCAGTTCCACCGCCGTGAAGCACGTGAGCTTTGGCGCGACGAAAATGATCCGCTGTACCTAAATGAAATTTGTGGGTTTTTGTCTACACGATTGAAATTTGTGGTTAGTAGATCTTGCTAAGTATTTTTTATTTATTTATCCAATTTTGAATGAAATTTGAAAAATATACTGAAATTGCATTACGGTTGAGCGTAGATTGTAGGAAATTCTCTTGAGTCTAAATAAGCATCGATTCATCTTTGTGGTAGATTTCCATGGCTGCGAGTGCCAGACACTGTCCAGTGCAAGGTTGATAGGAAGACTTCTGTATTTGAATATATGAGCAGGCTAGATGTTAGCTATGCAGTGCAACAGTTAAGCCAATTTGTAAATAACCCTTTCACTGAACACTGGGAAGCAGCCATTCATGTGCTTAAATATCTTAAAGGTACTGATTCTCTTGGTTTGCTGCTTAGCTCTAAGTCAGATCCTACTGTGAGTGGCTTTTGTGATGCTGATTGGGCTACTTGTAAAGATACTCGTAGATCAATCACAGGTTACTGTGTTTTCATTGGCAATAGTCTCCTCTCTTGGAAAAGTAAAAAACAAGTCACAGTGGCACGATCCTCGGCTGAGGCAGAGTATAGAGCAATGGGGACAGCTGTGTGAGAGTTGCAATGGATCAATGCTTTGGCCAAGGAGTTTCAGATACAGCCATCTTTGCCAATTACATTGTGGTGTGACAATCAGGCTGCTATGCACATCACTGCCAATCCCGTCTTTCATGAGAGAACCAAGCACTTGGAGATAGACTGTCACATTGTTCGAGATCAGTTCAAGGCTGGTTTTATTAAGCCAGCTTATGTTCATTCCTGTGCCCAACTAGCAGATTTCTTCACCAAGCTACTGTCACCGGGAGTGTTTCATCGTCTTTTGTCCAAGCTGGGTGTGTGCATGTCTCCCCACACTCCAGCTTGAGGGGGGTGTTGAATATTATGAGTGCATATGTGTGTGAGTGTGTAAGTGCATATGTACATATAGGTGAAAGTGACTGTGTGTGTGTAAATAGATGAAAGGCTCGTTGTAAATAAGGACGACGTCGTTTTGGCCTTTGGTTACTTTACCTGTGAACGACGTCGTATAGGTACTGCATGGGTTATAAATGCAGCTTGCATGAACGGACCTCAATTGAGAGATAATGAAATGAAAATATTTTTTGTCACTTAGCTCGTTATTTCACAGTATGTTTCTCTTCTTCAGGCGATTGTGCCACATGGAGAAGCTGTGACTGTCCAGACATTTTTGGCATGGAGAGAGAGGTTTGAACAGAATTAGCACTTGAGAGAGCCAAGTGAGTTTTCATTTGTTTAATCCTTTTGTTTGTTATGTAATTTTAACTTGTGCTAGAACATGGTCTGAGAAGCACGTAGTGTTTGCAAGGTCTATAGAAAGAGAAAAAAGAGAGCAATAAATTCTTAGCTTTTATGGTGAAAGAAAGGGTGTATGTTCCCCTCAGGAGTTAAAAACTTTAATTTGGCTACAATGAGTTTTAGGTAAGTAAGCGATAGAATTTTTGGCCAGTTTAATGAATGATAAGATCATATATATTGATTGTTAGTGCTTAATAGTTTTCATGCACATAAATTTAGGCTAATGCCGGATTCAACACTTGCTGCACCAGAAGAGAATAAACTTACGGGCATACAATGGTTTGAAAGTGGACGCGCTAGCTCGGTACTCTTTTGTTCATTTTCGTTTTTTCCTTTTTCCACCTCAAGAATCATAAATTATTGGGTTAACAACCCAGTGATCTTTTGTACTATTTTTGAATTATTGTCACTGCTTCATTGAATCTTTGAATTCCTATTGTGGTTTATTGCCCCGATGAAGTGCAATTGGGGTTAAACTGTGTTTTTTGACTTTCCATTGAAAGTTTGAGCTCTTTTCTATTATCTTGCTCCATCTAACATAGAACTTTTGCCTTCTGTTGCTCACTGCCAGCCTTGAAACCTGAACCAGGCTTTTGTCTGTATTATGCACCAATGATAGGATAATTTGTTTTTAAAGCATTTTGCAGCAAATGTGATACTTATAACACTGTTAATGTTTCTTCTTTCTCAGCAGTTCTTTCTCTGCCCTCTCCCTCTGTGTATCCCATATCATGGTTGTCTCTTATGCTTGACCAATTTGTTTTAGTTACGATCTGCTAATGGTGTGGTTTGCTTTTCAGCTGAAACGTGTAATGGAGTCAGATGCAGCGATGACTGATGATTTAATTCCCTATAACATAATTCTTTTGGATGCTCCTACTATAACTACTCCTATTGTGTCTTTCCCTGAGGTGATCGAGCTCAATTTCTAATGTGATATTTTTCTTATCTTGTTCCTTTAATGGTTAATTGGCTATTTGTACATTAGGTTAAATCTGCGGTTCCTTCATTGAAATAGTTCAGGGGCTTTCCTAAGTTACCTGGAACTTTTCCTATATCAGCTTCAAAGGCGTTGGACATGACTTCTTGCAGTATTCATTTGGCTTTCAGGTTAGTTCGCAAATTTTGATGATTTATTTTCCTGGAAAAATAATCTGCTACTCAATCCAAATTGAAAGGACTTGTGTTGTTTTGGTTCAAATGGTTTTGGATGTGTGACGGAAAGACTTTAGTTTGTTAATGTATCTCCAGGCTGCTTTCCTCTCTACGTAGATGTTGCAGAAGTGGTCGCACGTGCAGATGTAATGTAATGGCTTTGTCTGATTTGGGTGATAATATACGGCAAGGTGCAAAAAGTTGTTCTCTTTTGTTTTATTGGATTGTTATTTGGGTTTTAAGTTCTAGAATTTCTATTTCTTATGCAGTATGTTTCTGTACGAATAGATACCATGTTTTGTCCGAGAGAAGGCGCTCAGAGAAAATTAATGAGGGACTTACGATTCATGGATCATTTATTCCATTTTTGAAAAAAAAAAAAAAAAAAAAAAACATCTAATACAAACTTCAAACCCATTTGTAGCTAATAAAGATAGCTTGGCTTCACCTATTGCAGGTTGACAAAGTATCTATCCTTGCTCATAAGATAGAGTACCTAAAAGAGCTGAAGAGAAAGTATTTTTCTTTCTATTGTTAAAACTGTTAGGGATTCATTGAGATCGACATTTTTTGTGGTCAATATTGTTTTTGTCGAGCATTTTTCTCATATGAAGGTTGTTGATGGATCTCATGGAGGATGGAAAGCAATCAATATGGTAATTGTTGTTCCACCAGGTGAAGGGCACCTTCTTGTCCTGCTCTGTGATTAGGGATTTGAGGAAGGGTTTGGGAAATGAGGCAGGGGGGGTTGAGGGATATCCTCACTTTCCAGCAAGGGTAAAGCCAATTTGGCTGAGCTCCAGATGTTTCACTCCAACGACTACCGTGGACGGGGTAATCTTTCTTCCTTTTTGGCGGCTCTCTTTAACTTCAAAGAAAAAATCTTTAAACCTAAGAACCTCTTTTGATCGCTGCCTTTTTTCTTTTTTATCCTGTTCCTTGCTTCTACCGGAGGTAAAATTCTGGCCATAACCATCAGTTTGGGATAAGGAAAAGCATGTTTTGTGATTCACTTTTCATATTTATGCTTAATAATGTATTGTAGGAAAATTCTTATGTTTATTTGATTGATCTGCATGGCATGTATATGCATGTATGTTCCTGCAGCACTTTTGTAAATTTATCAATCTGATGTTTTTGGTTTATGCTGAACCAGTCAGTTCTGCTAATGTTATTTTGTTGTCCTTGTCAAATGAAATTAAATAATGTTATTATTCCAATTTTTATTTTAATGGATTAAAATGAGATAATATACTGCTCTGGTCATTTTTTGAGAGTATAACTATACAATTTACGTGTTTCATTTAAATTTAATGTTTCTGTTAAAAGCTTTATCGTCTGCTACAGTTTTATATTGCTTTATTCTACCATTTTAGTAATATATGGATTGTTTTGATTAAAGTGGAGACCTAGCTCTGACATAAGCATCTCATGGAATCTTGATTATAATGGAGACCCAGTTGTTCAGCACAATTCGAATTGGAGAACTCCAGATTCTCGAGGCAATGGCGGATGAGGACCAGAACCTGCTGGAATAGAAAAAGCTTCGCTGAATGCTTTCCGTGCTCCACGTGGTGGCCGTGGGTGGCAGATTAAGGTTAGGGTTCAAATGAGAGCCCGTTCATTGGTCTTTGTTTACTTTTTTTTTTTTTTGCCTTTTTTTTGTTAGTTTGAGGGTGTTTTGTTTGTTTGATTTTTGTTTTGGCTTGGTTAGGTTCTTTCGACGCTTCTGGATCGGTTTTGGAATCCGGATATCCTCATTCGACACAAGTAGACAAATTCATTTCTGGATTTGATTTCATTTTTTTGTTTAGTAATTTTTTTATTCGATGTGTGTTTTGTGAACTCAATCAAGATACAATTGTTGTTACTAATCGGCGCAATGCATGGGAAGGTCTTGTGCATGAAAAGGTTGATTCAAGTAGGAGCCAATGTATGATGATTCGTGGTTTTCGTTTCCTGTTTTTTATTGATAGTTAATACATCTCTTGTGTACACGTTTCGGATTTGTGTGTAATTTGATGATTGAGTTTTGTTGTAAATTATTTTTTTCCTTGTTATTTTCCAGATTTTTTTTGCTTGAGACATTTTATATTTTTTCTAGAAATTTGTTGTTTGATACAATATGGGGGTGATCCCATGAGCGTGATTGTTGCACTTCCAAAACCTTATACTTATAGGGTATTGTTGGCAGTGAAAGAAGAAATGTTGAGAAGAAACGTGAGGCTGGGGAGGGAGTATCTTTATCGGAAAAGCTTTGAGGGCAAAGAGCATTTACTCTATGAGAAGAAGCACAAAATTCGCGAAGCTTTTGCAGGTTTTAACTTCATTTCCCCTGTTCTGAATCTAAATTGACGAGAGTAATTACAAAATCCCAGTTTTTCACCAAAAAAAAAAATGTGTTCTTAGGTTGATTTTAGAGTCTGTCTCGACCACAGGGAGAGGAGAGATGTAAATTGACGAGTATCAGAATCTGTGTTTTTAGGTTGATTTTAGAGTGATTTTATTGAACAGAGAAAACCAATACCAACCAAGCTCAGAAATGAAGAGGGGACGCTCCGTCCAGAAATTGACCCCGAAGATGAAAATACTATTGGTACTACTCGCGACCGACTTGGTTTAGTGCAAATTTGGATTGCAATAGGTTTTTATTTTATTTCATTTTCTATGTTTTGTTGTTCAATTTAAGTTTGTTTGCCGGCCTTTTTTGGGTTTGAGGGTCGGGAAGGCGCTGAACATAGGATTACGCTTGGTTGGCGAATTTAATGGGTGATGTGAGGCTGATGATTGGGGTATCGGGTGTTTTTGTTTGCCAGCTGCTTAATAGATGGAATAATTTGTGAAGTTCACTTATTGAGCTCAGTTATTGTTGTGGTTTTTTTTTTTAGTTGAAAATTTGAGCTGAAATGTTTAATTGGATGTAGTTCCTTGTTCAACAATCGCTGATAAATATGCAAATGCTGCCGATAGAGATCCTACGATTTTGCTTACAACTTCACGTCATCCGAGTTCTTCCGGATACTCTAAAATTGCTTGCAATATAAATTTTGTAATTATCTCATTTATATGAGTGAATTTCTTTATAGTTGAGTAATTGAATACTTGTTAGTATTTTTAATATATGTAAAATAATTAAATGATTTATAAAGAAGGCATTATTTTCAAATGCAGTACAAAAAATAACCGCCATCAATAATTTCTTAGATTATGCAGAGGTTAGAAATTTTTCATTTAGGCTTGTAGCTCAAAAATCTGGTTGGATGTTGATTTGCTGTTCTTATCTTGCATGAGGTATTTTGTTATTAATTTTAATTTTGCAAGAATTACAAGCCAGAGTTTATTCAAGATAAACTTTCTACATTTTTTCTCTAATTTTGTTGATTTGTGTAAATTTACTAACAATAGTTTAAAAAAAATATATAAATTCAATTAATCATTGCAAGTGATGACATTTTTTCTATATTTTTAGACTAAATTTAAGTCCGCCGTGCGTGCACGGCGTGAAACAACTAGTACTATCTATATGAAAATATAAGAGAGTTCACAAGACGACAAGTGGCGAATTCCATTGCTTGACAAGTGGCTAATTTATGTGCAATTACTTCAATTTCCCTTAATTGCCCTAATTTTTCTGCTTTTTGAGGTTGGGCATGTAATTTATGTGCAACTACTCTTATTACTCTCATTTCCTGGGCAGCGGCGATGTCATCGGCAGATCCAGTGGTATCGACACCGACGGCTGCGACGACGTTTTCCACGTGGCCACACCGCTGGACTTCGAGGAGAGAGAAAGAGAGAGCAAGGAGGTGAAGGTCCGGCGGGTCACCACCGGAACCCGAGCCATCCTGCAAGCGTGCCCACTCCAAAACCGTGCTTCGCGTGCTCCGCACCTCCACCCTCGGCACGGTGACCTTCAACGCGGAATTCTTCGGCTCCTCCGGCATGCCCGACGCCGTGGATGAGAGCTCGTGGACGCTCCAGAGAGAATCAAGACTGCCAGATCGCAACTTCTATCAGAAAATTTGAGGTTTTGTTGGATTGATTTCGATAAAATTCCAATCTTTGTAGTCTTCAACTTTATGTAATGGGTAAATTCTTTTTGGTGGGGCTTTTCATCTCTCTTGTTTTTCCTTGATTAGTGCTAGATTTGGGGTTTTTCAAGTGATGGCATGTTTTGAAGAAGTGGGTTTTCAGTGACTTCGCTTTTATTTTTATTTTTATTTTTATTTTTCTTTGGATCTTGGATTTATCCTTTGGTTCTTAATTCTGGAAAAATGCTCTTCTTTTTCGTCATTAGTTTGGTGTTTTCCTAACTTTGGTATTTGACTGGAAAGTCCTTCAATCTTTTACCAATGAAGTGTTCATTTCTTTAATTATTGGGTGCAGCAATTTGACCGGAAAAAAAATGTGTGTGTTGGGTGTTTCTGTCCCCTTTTGGTGCATCTAACTCCTTTGTCTTACTGTGCATGACCGCTGATAAGAAAGAATTGGTGATAAGGTTTCTGATTTTGTGTAAAATTTTCAGATTTTATAAATTTGTGGCTATCGAGCTGTTAATTTGTAGGTAATGTTACTAATTCTTTTATGTTTCCAGACTCTACCAAGTTCTCTCATTACTGTATGTTGCTTGTAGGTGGATGTTTTTGTGGCCAAAAACGAGAATTTTTACATAGAATGCCGGTTTGAGCCCCTTACTACGTTTGATGCAGGTATATTGAATTGTGTAGACAATATTAAAAAAAAAGAGTTATTTTTTATTTTGAGCTCTGGTATGTTCTACTGGTTTATGTTTTACATTTTCTTTCCAACCAAATGTAATACTTAATGAGTGGACCCGCGCTGATTTTGGTTTTGTATTTTTCTAGCAGGATTATGCGTGCATTCAAAGCGGTATGATGTTTCCTTTCATAGCTTATGTGAATAGGTGATTCATTGTTGGTATATTTTGTTTCTTCTTTGTTTGACCTCTAAATAAATCACTACGAGCATGTGAGTATGGATAACTTTGGGATTCTGTTGGTTTAGGTTTCAATGCAGACTGAACTTAATGATAACAAGCCCTGTGATCTACGTTCTGTATAGAAGAGGCATTTTTGGTGGAAAATGGTTTTGTTGAAACGTTGATGGTTGAAATTAATGCGGCGGCTGGGAACTTGAATTATCTGCGTACTCTTATAAGGATATTAACGATAAAAAGAAGGTGGATATAATATTGCTACCTCAAGTTTTCTCGACTCAACTTCTACTTCTGCACTGGAGATTCACCAAGCCTGAATCTTCACTTCTTCCCTTTGGAAAAAAACATCAAGTCTTATTGTTTTTTCTAAAGAACACTTACTCAAGAAAATTCTTGGTTTTTTTCTCCTCTGTGTACAATATAAGGCGCCGACGGCATCTTTAACTGGCGACATCCATAATCACGACCAACACACAGCCTATTCAAACAAAAAACATAGCTTGGAATCGGGTCGTTGATTGATGACTAGCATATGTGAGGTAATTGGGCTATCTTTAAATCCATCCTTCCAACTTGCAAAATAATTCAAAGCTTGTGTCTGTACTTACCATTCTATTGGTCTATTGGGCAAGATCCAAATTCAAAATTCTTAATAGGGATGTTGGATATTTATGGCTTTGAGGGTTTCAAGACAACCTGGTGCTTAACCGATATGCTTAATCTTCTTGGTATTTAGAGGTTAATACCCTGCATGGTGCTGTACAAAAGTCTTCCTATTAACTTATTACAATGGTGACCTTTGTACTAAAATTCAGAAATCCTGTTTTTGCTATATTTCAATAATTTCTTATGCTACGCAGTATCTTAATGATGATCATTCTAGCATGATGTTTAATGGAATGGTTTCCTTTCATCTATGCATTACAATTGTACTATTTTTAATTTTCTGTCTTGTTTTCTATTTCCAGTTATCTAGGGTTGCAACAAATATGAAGTTTTATCTTTGATGATAAGGTTTTTACTTTAAATGCTTGATGATCATGCTATAGAGTGGTTATTCTCATGTTTCTCACACTTTCTCTTGCAGCTTTGAGCAGTTCTGTATAAATTTAACTAATGAGAAACTGCAGCAACATTTCAATTAGGTGCACATATGATATTCTGGTCTATTTATCGTAATAAATGTAGAAGGTTGATATATAAAGATAGAAAGTACAATTTTTCCTTAAAATGACATTTTGTATTTTCTGGCAGCATGTTTTCAAGTTACTTGATTAAAGTTACAGCATATTTTTGCCTATTTTTTTGTCAGTTTTTGTCTAATATATTTATATCAGGGCACTCAGAAGTCCATAAAATCATGCACGTACGTATGAGATGTTTGTATTAAATTGACTCTCTCTCTCTCTCTCTATATATATATATATATATTGTAAATTCTATTATGCTGCTGAAATTCAAATAAGATTTATATGTTGTAGATCTGTTAGCTGCTTGCAGGTTTGTGGGACACTTCTAAATATTTTTGAGCGAAATAAGTATTGTTTTGGTGGGGAATCCATTTAGGTATGTATTTGGATTTTATGTTAACTCGTTACATTTTTATTTTTTCTACTGTCCGATATATGTTTGATCAAGAGTTTTATATCTTTTTTCGACCTTATGCAGACACTAGACTTTTGATGTTGTTCAAGGAAAAGTAGAAAGAATGACAAATTCGTCGATCATTTTAGTGTAACAAATTTACCTCCCTTTTTGATTTATTTAGTAATACACACACACCCACACACAAACACACACACACACACAGACACACACACACACACACACATATATATATATATATAATTTTATGATACAAGGGGATGAGAGTTGGCCGACTATTTATGTGCTCATTGCAATTCATTAACTAAATGTATAGTAACGAGCCCCCTGTATGGGGAGGCTCATTACTTCAACTAGTTCCCCCAGAAACCGCTAGGGTTTTAGCAAAAGCAGCTCTCCGGGGTCGAATCGATTGGCTGAAAGGCTTGAAAGAGAACGTGGTTGGCCTGGACTTGAACCAGAGACCTCGCCCGTGAAGTAAATCATCGCACCTACGGTCCAACTAATTGGAAGAGCCGCCTGGGGGCTTTACCAGGACTAACCAAGAAAAGTCAGAATAAGGGAAAAACTCCATGAAAGAAAGATTAATGATTCAGATAAATCACTTAGTGGAAAATGTCCTGAATAAATCCAACGCGTAATTAATAATCCTGTTATACAGAAAAAAGTCATTATCATGCCCTTTTCACATGAATCCGCTATGATAATGAGAAAGATTTCTGCATATACACCTTCGGGCGGAACTCCAGGTTGAGGAGTTACTCGGAATGCTGCCAAGATATCAGTATCTTTGGTCTCGTATTCTTCGACGAAAGTCGTATGTACGGGTTGGAGGGAGATCTTTCATATCTTTCGAGATCCACCCCCGAATAGTACTATAAGAATCGGTACTGAACATCCCTCCTGTAATTGTACAGGCTCCCATAGCAATAACATATTTTGATTCGGGCATTTGCTCATATAATCGATTCTTTTTGCAATTTTTTTTGAACCGTATGCATCAAAAGATGCGTGTACGGTTCCTAAGGAAATAAGGAGGAGAAGGAGTAGGAAATAAGGAGGAGGATGAAATAAGGAGGAGAAGGAGTAGGTGTACCTGAGGCTATTCCTGTAATAGGATCGCCCCTTTCTTGGGTCAAAAAGTCCTAATCTTGGTTTCGGCTTTCCAGATGTATCAGAACTTTTTGTTTATTTATTACGTAGAATAACAAATCAAAAAGAAAACTTTTTTTTGGGGTTTCTGTTGAACAAGTGTGTAATCTGTTGTTGTTTTATTTCTTGAGATAAGATCATGGGGCTTAATTAGGAGCTTCATTAGTTTTTTCACTCATAAATCTGGTACGACTTTTTGTTATTATTGGGAAATTACAGTGTTATTAGATTTAATATATATACTCTTTGTTGGGTGTGTTGTAGATGAATATATGATTAGATATTACATATTTGAAGTATTAGGTATGAGTGTGGCTCCATAGGATTTTTAATGAGTGTGGATATGTGTTTAACAAGATCTGGATGTGTTCTTAGTGAATTAATGATATTGAGTATATTTATTCCAGCCATAGTTATTCCTTTCACGATGTCTCATTGTTAATAATTTATTTCCATTTATGTTTTTATCATGCATATGCATTATTTATCCCATTCATTATATAATAATATATTATTATTTGTATATATTGTTTCAAGCAGTGGGTGAAGTCAAACAAGTCTCTTCAGGGACTGTGGCAAACAAGTCTATTTGGTAATGAACACTCTTTTCTTTTGTCCTTTTATGTTTAGGTTTAGCTCTGAATTACTGATGTTGTATTTAGGCATCTATTCTTAACCGTTTGTCTTGTGTTTTCGGTTTTCAGGAGGGTTTGACACAGCTCATATTGCAGGTAGGTAAGGTTTCCATTTTCTACTTGCAATTGAGATTTCTAGGCATTTTCAATTTCAGTTCTTGATTTTGGTCCTTTTTGGGAAGGAAGTTTGAGTTAGTTATGTTCTTTTTTTTAGATTATACTATCGTGCTGCAATCAAGTTTCGTGGGGTTGGTGTTGATATCAGTTTCACGATCAGTGATTATGAAGAGGATATGATACATGTTTGGAGCTATATTTATTTGCTCTTTGCTAGACGATAAATGAATCTTATGTAGATGAATAACCTAACAAATGAAGAGCATGTTCACATTTTTCGCCGTCAAAGCAAAGGCTTCCCTCGAGCTCGAAGTACAGAGATGGTGCACTGCATAAATGTTGTCGATCGGAAGCAAAATGGTGCGACTAATAGAACACTGTAGTGAATGTAGTGAATGCATGTAGCTTATGTTCTCTATCCTTAACTACTTTGCTATTACGGATTTAAATTGTGCAAAATTTTAGACTAGATTTGACCCGGTTGTGCGTGCACAGCCGTGAGGCGACTAGTCCTCTCTTATTATATATGAAAACGCAAGGGTACTTGAGCAGTTGACACGTGGCTAGGTTTGTGGGGCACGTTGGGCGCACGGTTTTTTCTTCCTTTCTTGGTGCATTCTGTGGACAAAACGACGGCGTTTTGCTGACGGAACGACGGCGTTTGGTTTGCTGACTTGAGATGAAGGGGAACGCTCAAAATTCGCAGCAAAAGGTTTATTTTTAACTTTTCTTTTTTGCGCAGAATTTTACCCTCTGATATCAATTTCGGCCCCTTACAACTGGCCGGATGGTGCTTTCCGAGGCTGTTGCTTTTCGTGAGTTGTACCGCGGGGGTGTATTTAGGGGGTCTGGCTTCGAGGTTGCTGGCACTCGGCGTTCTACTTTCTCGGTTTCTGTGGTTAAAGGGTCCCGATTATGGTGAGTGGTGTGGTTTACATGCTTTCTTTTTTGTATTATGTTTTCCTTTATTTGTACTCGGCTTCCATATTTATTTTTTCAAATTTATAATTTATGAATTCGAGTCCAATTTTCATTACAGTTTTTTTGGTGAAAGCTAAAGAGTCGACAATTATGTTTCATAGATGAATCTTAGTTGTTGCCCTGCAATTTCGTCACTTCATGTCCACGTAATTGAAATCGGAGGGAATTTTCACTGTTTTTTTGGTGAATTTTTTTTTCCTCTTATGTTTGTTTTCAGTTTTTTACTCACTTATGTTCATTGTATGAATCATATGTTGTAACATTTGTAGGCGGTGGATAAATGGGTAACGATAGATGTAATGATCAACAATGCAGGCAATGTAAGATTTGAATTTGTTTGTTTATATACCTTTTGGTTTGTTTTCTGTCTACAATATTTTGTGTAACATCAGGTATTACAAAGGTTGGTTTGTTGATGAGGTTAGTGGAAGGAGGGTCATTGGTCTAAACCTTACTTGGGTGTTCTTATGAACACAGGTCAATATCTTATGCTTTATTTTTGCTAATATTGCTTCCCAGGTCTGAAGATTATAACTGAAATACTTTGTTATTTGCAGGCAGTTGCCAGAGTAATGATGAAGAAGAAAAAGGTATCATTAAGTCATTGATTTGGTTCCATCCCACTTTGTTTTTAATGGTCTTGTCAAAGTTCAAGAACTTCTTATTGGTAATTGAAAAAACAGTCCTTAGTTTCAATATCAAAGTAAGCTTTTGATCTTGCATTTGAAGACTAATCCTTGGCTGTCTGAGCAAGGCCCTTCTTCTTCCCACGTTTTTACGCTCTGCCACTAGCTTTTTGGATACACTTGAATTATCTGCTGAGACAAAAACGTACGGCGCTTATCGGTGTGGTTGACTGATCCGTGAAATCTGGGTACGAATTATTTCCCTCACCTTTTTGCACGATGTGAACGTCTTTCAGTATGGGTTCATTTGCGTGCGTATTTGGTTTGTGCCTACCATTATTTCGGAAAAATGGGAGTGTGTGTATTGTGTAACTTGGGTTTCTGGTTAAATTTTTTCGCGTCTGAGGTGTGTGGCGATATTACTTTGTCGTTTGAGAGCTGCGATTTAGGACCTTCATCCTGTGAATTCAATGTCTTGAAGTATGGGCTATTGTGTTTGAATTTTTTTTTGTTAATTTCGAAAAGCCGACTTTAGGTGCTAGCCTTTGGTGACCTTCAAATGTAGTCTGAGTGTAGCGCGTTTGTAGATCTGTATGTATTCTCTGTGGTTCTTGAGGACTTCTTGTGCTGCTCATAACATGTTTCGTCTTTTCAATGTAATGTTTGCTTAATTGGTAGCCAGTGCACAGCTAACGCCATATTTTGAAATTGCTCACACATGCTGTTTTTTTTGTTTAATTCTGCTGTGTGTGCTTTAGTTGCTTTAGAGAATGTCTGTTTCAGCTATGTATGCCGGTATATTAAATCATAATGAAGGAGGTTCAACAATTAACGATGCATGTAAGTCTAATTGACTTACATGATATTTTTAGCCTTTTCTTGCAACTATCATTCTCAAACACTGTCTGATTTTTTACTTTTGCTTCACAAGTTTATAGGTCATGCTTCATTATGACAAGAGTTTAGCGCATTCTGAAACACTTTCTGATTTTCTTACTTTTGTTTCACTCCTTTGCCTTGATAGTTAAATAATTGCAAAAGATTTGAGCTTCAATTTGATTATTGAAGAGCTTGATAATGGTTTAAAGCTCTGACTGATGAAGTTCATTCTTATAAGGTACATCATTATGATGAGGGTATTTGTTAAACCGCAGGGAAGTTTTTTGTTAGCTTAAATGATTTTTTTTGTAATTTTGAAACATTGTTGATATATTTTGTAATTGGCCAAACCTCCCAGGTAGATTCTTGTAATCTTTGTTATTTTATCTAAAAAATGCTATAGTTTCACCTATTTATAAATCTCAAGTTTAAACTTTATGGTCATACAGACAAACTCACAACACATGTACATTGTCAAGGAATATGGTTTCTAAATGACATTGCAGGTACGCCGTGGCTGTTGATGAACTATTTATTAATCTATAAATTTCTTGTTGTTTGTTAAGGGAAAATGGATCCTCAAGTGACAAATAGAAAAGCTAATCTCCCACACAAGCTAATCTCCGTACATTCCCCACTACTTGCTCGATCAAAATGGACAACTCAAGCTCGAGGTCTAATCTTGATCTGCCTCGATTTTGCTGTGGTTTGAGATTTGAACGGATCTCTTTGCTTTGGTACTTTTGTCCTATTCGTAATTTCATTTGATGCTTAGTCTATTTCAATCTTCTGTTCCGAACAATATTGGCGCATATGCATATGACTATTGTAATTTGTTTTCTGTAGAAATTTTGGATTTGGGTTCAAGATCAACGCGTTCCGATTGAAGCACCATGCCTCGGCATCGGCTTTCCCTAGGGCTCCGGAGCCCTAGGGAATGATCCGCCATTGGAGCCCTAGGGAAAGCCGATGCCGAGGCACGTTGCGGTCATCATGGAAGGGAACATGAGGTTGGCAATCGGTTGGATTACAAGGCAGGTGTTTGAGCCCTGATGAGGGTCGTGTAGCTGTGTGGCGATTAGGGGGATTAATGTGTTGACAATGTTTGCTTTTTCTTATAATAATAATTGGTCTAGCCCCAAGGTAAAGATAAGCTCAAACTTCATTTAAATCAACAAAACTTTTTGTGTTACACTTACTGTTTGTTAACTACAACATCTCCTATTTTCAGATTTTCTTTATTGTTTTATAGATGGAGACCGAGCAGTGAGTTTTTACTATTCTGCGCTGCAAGAATTTCTTTAGCTTCGTTTATATAGTTTATAGTGCGTTAATGATATATGTTGAGCACAAAATTAAAGAATAATAATCTTATGAACTTGCTTAGGTAAATGGTTTAATTACCAGGCCCTTTATTATTTTAGTCCCATAGTTATTTGTTTTGATTTATTTTATCAAGGAGGAGGACGATCAACATCTGTGGGGCTCTCATCGGTGACCCAAAAAATTCTCAAAAAAAAATTAGAAGGTAAATCGTATCAAGATATCAATGGTCGTATCCAGGAGCATCAACCCAAGCACCAGCTGTGAGTGTTAACGAAAATTTACTCATACTCTCTATGACTAATGAACATTAATATCATCATCTTATCAGATTTGATTTTAGAAAAGAGTATTTCGTATTGCTGTTTGATGTTTATGTAATAAAAGATATTTCAGTTGTTCGATGTGCTGCACAACGTGTGGCTTGATGATTTCGTTAGCTTAGATTTTCTTACATGTTATTTATTTATTGCATACTGGTGGAAATGCGTAATTGCATTTGTTTATTGATTCTTAGCATCTTGAAGCTCAACATATTTTGGGCATTCTCAGGTGTGTATTGTGCTCTTGCAAAGTTACTAGCCACCAGTCTTAGCTTCTGCTTTGAATGAGGTTTTGCTGAAATTGACTCGGGATGATTTGTCCAGTACGCTAACACTCATAGCCTTTGTGTTGTGTCAGAATCTAAGTTCAAACAAAGAAAATATGGGTTAGTTCTTAAATTTTTTCTTTTTCGCAAATTGTAGGTTGTATGAGTTTTAGAGAAATTTTGTTAGATTTTTTTCCCTAGAGTCGACAACCGGCCAACAGGACGTATAGGGACCAGATGCAGCTGACCATACAATTTCCTTCAGGTACGTATATAGCAATTTACATGTTTTAAATTCTACATTTGTTGTTCTTTTCGTTCCTGTATAAATCATCAATTTATTTAAACATTTAAGTGATATTTTTTTTTGAGTGTTTAATTAAAATTTGGAATTTTGTCTCACAAGATCAAAAGAGCTCTGATGGGTGATTTCAGTGGAACAACCTACTAAAAAAAAACTTTGCGAATCTTAGCGAGGTTGAGCGCGACAACAAAGTCAACATGATATTGTGTTATGGTTGTTTAGTTGAGATGATTTTATTTATTTTCTAAAATGTTAATGTAGGGTGCAGAGTTTTGGGCTGAGCTATCAATTGTTTATGTAAGTTCCTTGTTTAGGAGCTATTCTTTTGCTGTTTTACACACACACACTAATATATATTTAGTGCCCAAATATGCTTTACCTTGTACATTTTATGATCCGCTTGTTGCATATGTATGGCCACAATTAGTTTGTATAGAGGTTGCAATAAATTTGTATAATAAATGGAGTAGTACTAGAAAAAAAAAAATAGAATAATGGGCCGGCTGTGCTGGGCACAGCCGGAGTCATCTAGTATAGTAATATAATTGCAACTTGTGATTTCTTTAGTCATTGTGATTTGTGAATTCTAACCTTTTTCTTTTGATATTTAGAAGAAGTTGACTATTCTTTCCCTGAAACCCTTGTGAAGTTTAAGAATAGCAGTTACTAAAATTATTGACAGAGATGGCGTATGTGCGGTGATATTCGCTGGAAAACGTGTCAAATTAAACGAGTTTGGCTCGGCTCGGCTCGGCTCGTTAAAGCTCGAGTTCGGCTCAACTCGTTTGATAAACGAGCTGAGCTCAAGCTCATTTAAAGCTCGTTTGGTTATAAGGCTCGTTAAGGCTCGAAAAGAGAATTTTTATATAATTTTCTAGCAACAAATTTTACAAAACAAAAAGGACCATAGAGGAGGCAGGTGACTTGATCTTTCGATATTTCATCAGTATGAGTGATTTTCCGCAACTGGATTAAGCAAATTAACATGTTGTATTCATGCATGTGTTAATATATGATAGAGGTGTTGTTAATTTTTACAGGAAATGTGTCTAGAAAAGTATTAAATATAGAGCTGGAGAAAAAACGACGAAGATGAGATGCACAAGAGGCCACACGGCTCGTGTGATGTGGTCCATAAGCCACACGAGTCGTCTCAAACTTGAGCATTGTTCCCCAAAGAGTGATTATATCCTCATGTCATAGCATTTGCATGTCCTGTATGTTTTCTTGATGGCTGAAGTGTAGACAATGACTGTGATATAACATTTTTTATCCCTTTTGCAAATATTCAAATGTCAAAGGCTGAAGAAAATGTTGTTACCAACTGAAATGACTGCACCTCATCCACATATTTTGTTTTATTGATTTTACTTGCCCCTCCTACTTCAATATATTAGATAGTTTTAACATATGTTGTTATTTTTGTGAACAGGGATCTTACCAAGTTGCTAAGTGGAATGGCACAAAAGTTTCCGTTAAGATACTTGACAAGGATGGCCATGCAGACACTGATTCTATGTATATTGCGCCTCCATTCCAGCAACTTTGCTGAAACTTCCAGTGCTTATTTCTTCTTATCTGTTCTAATATTATGAAACTCTAATACACATTAATGCCAAACTACATGCACCTAGCATTGGAACAATTCGAGCAGTTAGTCATGTATCATTTCTCTCAGTACACTCAAGGAACTTGAAAATATGCAATAGCGTAATGACAATGCTTTGATTAATAGTTTAATACTGAACCTCAATTATAAAGGACTCTTGGGATTAATAACGAACTTTCCTGTGAGAAGCAAGTTTTTTTTTACTTAGAAATTTTAAAAAACTATACCTTACTATCTAGCTATTTACTTTACCATCGTCATCTTTCACATAACGAACGAGACTTAAAAATATATGTCGCTCTGCAGAAATGTATTCCGGCATGAGTTGACTTTATTGGAAAAGGTTCGGCATCCTCATGTGGTTCAGTTTATTGGTGCTACCACCCAAAACATACCAATGATGATTGTTTTGGAGTATTATTCAAGAGCAATGACTTCCTCTGCTGCTTCCTCTCTATCTTTGTGCTTACCAATCGATTTCCTTTAATTTCTAATTCTTGTTTTTTTCAATGTTCAGGGAGACCTTGCTAGTTACCTCCAATAAAAGGGCGTCTATCTCCATCTAAAGCCTTAAGATTTGCTCTGGAGATTGCCAGGTAATAAGTATCTTTTGAAATATATCCGTCGCGGCATAGTTCTGTCTCTAATTTACCTGCTCTTGCAATTGCTGGCTTTTTACCTTTTTCCTGTTCTGCTCTCTTTCTAAATCTGTTTGTCGTTATCCTTTCTACTTTCTTTTTTGTTCTCTCGTGGAGGGTTGCGTAATTTACTCTTGTAGATGTTGCATCCTAAACTTTAGATGATATTTTGTCTACAGAGGCATGAATTATCTTCACGAATGCAAGCCTGAACCAATCATACATGGTGATTTGAAGCCAAAGTAAGGCAACTAAATGCTTTATTTGGCTATATTATCTAAATTATCTTTACTTTTATGGACTGTTTTATGGAATAAGCTTTTTTTAATAATTGCAATTATGGTAAGGTGCCAGGAACATTTGGCTCGATTTTGGAGGGCAGCTGAAGGTTGCAGGGTTTGGTGTTATTTGGTTGTCAACAATCTCACCTGATGAAGCAAAATTGATGCAGTCCAATGCAATAGACCGTTAAAGTGAGTTGTTTAACTTACAACACAATGCTCCTTAGAATTAACACTCAGTTTTGAGGACATCTATGTTTCTAAAATTTATCAATAAGGAGATGGCATTGCCTTGTACTGAAAAGTGGTCGCTGACCCTTTAATCGTCTTAACAGGTCAAGGCGTTTCACTCTACTCTATGTTATTCTCTACGCCATCGATGGAAGCCTACCATAATGCAGTAAGTTACTGTGTTATATAGGTTTCTATGTGGCACCTGAAATTTTGTGGATGTGCACTCTTTGGTGTTATGCGGTATGAGGTATGCTTTAGTTCAGTTATTTTTTAATTTTTTATTTTTTTTTTTTGTGATCGCTTAACTTTTTGACGTTTGTCACCAGATTTTCTTTTAAGTTTCTCTAATTTTCAGTCTTTATAGTGATTCACCTTTTTAACGACTTCTTATTGCATCTGGTAGACGCATATGTATATTTCCTCAATGTAATCAGACTCCATTATACTCTTGAATTAAAGATTTTGATGGTGAATTTATCAAGAATGTTAAAAGTCTTTGACTGCCACCAACAGTTCTTTCTATGGTTATTTTTCTTGAAGGATTGCCGTGACGCTCATCAAAGTTTTGAGATATTACTATGTGTTACGGACAAGTGCTCAACAAAGGCGAAGGCTTTGAAAGAGAAAGGGCTTGAGTGGAAAGTCGGGTTTTTTCCGGCAAAGGATAGTAATGCAGTGGCTGGAAAAGGTGAAGACGATGAAATATCCGGCGAGGGCAAAGTGGAGAAGGAAATGGGTGACGAGAGTGAGAATAGAGTTATATGATTAAGTTATTTGGGTTTGTATTGTTGGGCCCAAAAGTATTATTTATATGCAATTAGTAGATTATTGTTATTTAGCATTGGGCCTAGCTAATGTTATTTTAGCCCAATTAGTTGGTAAGGAAAAACGTATGATTGTTATTTAAGGGAAAAAGAAACAAAGAATGAGGCACGTTATGAGCATCTTTCTGTTACAACTTTCTCTCTCTTAAATTCTCTCTCTATCTGTATCTCTGTATTTATCTCCCTCTCCAAATTATCCTTCCCCTTCTTCTACAGTAAATTCTAGAAAATACTTAAAAATACATTAAATTACACCAAGGTTGTAACAATTGGTATCTCAGAGCCACGATTCTGATTATGGCGGAAGTAACACGCTTCAAGGACCTGCAAGAAGCGCAAAAGAATCGATCAGACATTACAGATTGAGGCACTAAAAAGGGAAGCTACAGAAATGAAGCTTCAAGAACAGATCTCGAGCTTAAGTACTAAGATGAAGGGTCTGACTTCAGAAATGCAAAATGCAGGGACAGCTGCAAGGTCTGTCCTCAGAAATGCACGGGCAACTGCAAAGTGTTTGTGGTAAGTATGACAACCTCGCAAATACACTTGCAGCGATTCAACTGCAGCTCCTTAATCTAGACAAAGGTAAGGGACAACAAACTAATGAATCCATTTTCGGGCCATACACTGAACCCAGAACAGATACTTTTACCAAACAGCCATTCCAATCCAAAGCAAGGATTCAATATGAACAACAAACACCAAATACCCATGTCATCAGTCCTTTACCCAAGCTAGATTTTCCCCATTTTGATGGAACCAACCCCAAGGTCTTGGATATTAAAATGCAACAGCTACTTTAAAATCATTCCCAACATTCCTGATCATCAAAAGGTACTCCTAGCTTTTATGCATTTTGAAGGGATAGCAGCACAATGGTTCCAAAGTTTCAGCAGCAAGTGTGAGGACATAAATTGGGCAGAATTCATAGAAGTCATATCAGCAAGGTTTGAGGCATTGAAGGAGTCCAAGATAATAGGTGAGTTCAACAAGCTCAGACATGTTAGTTCCTATGTTGACTATGTGGAGAAGTTCGAGGAACTTCGAGCTTGCATGATGTGTATGAACCATGGCTATACAGAAGAATATTTCATAGCCAGTTTTGTGAGTGGGCTGTCTGAAGAGCTACAATCATTTATCAATATGTTTGAACCCCAATCCCTACAACAAACCATAGATTTGGGAAAGAAACAGCAACAGACACTTGAAGCCATTACCAAAAAACTCAAAAGCCCAGCCAAATTTACTCAAAATTCCTATCAATTCCCTAAGAAAAATGAAAACTATAACCCAGTTCCAAGCAAGTTCAACAACTCTTTCAAAAATCCTGTGAAGCTGCTAACAGCTTCAGAAATGGCTTCAAGGAGGGAAAAAGGTCTATGTTATAACTGTGATGAACAGTTTACCTATGGGCACAGGTGCAAACATAGGCTCAATTTTATGACCATGACTGAAGAGGAAGAGGTCAATTACCTGCAGTCCACTCAACAACCGGAAGAGGCAGAAGAAATTGATAAGATTGAAGAGGTGCAGATGTCTCTTAATGCCATAGCAGGAGAGGATGGCCTTACAACCATGAGGGTTTTTGGGGATATAAAGGGGCACAAATTGTATATACTCATTGATTCTGGCAGCACACTCAGTTTCATACAAGCTAGCACAGGTAAATCATTGGGTTTGCCTCTCAAATCTGTCAAACTTTTAATGGTAAAAATTGCTAATGGACAGAGAATGATTAGTTCACATGTGGTGGAAGGATTTCAATGGTTTATGCAGGGACAATGTTTCACATATTCACTCAGAGTGTTGGATAATGAGGGATGTGATATGATACTAGGTGGGGATTGGCTAAAAAGTTGCACTCCCATTGAACTAGACTATGAGAGGATGAGTTTTACTGTCACTCTCAAAGGGAAAAGGGTGAGGATACAAGCTTTGAAGTCAGAAGCTACCTGCAAGTTCATCACTGGACCATCTTTATACAAACTGATTCATAAAAAAGGATGTCAAACAGTTGAAGAGATTTTTTGGGTAGCTGTAGACAAACCCGAACATGCTCATGACCCTAGTGACTTGGACTTAATTCTTTCCAAATATGATGATGTATTCCAAGAACCAAGAGGGCTACCACCAGGCAGAGGGGTTGAACATCATATCACCCTAAAACCTGACAGCTCCCCTAAACACCAATTTCCCTACAGGACATCACACAGCCAAAAGGGAGAAATAGAAAAGATTGTGAAAGAGATGTTGGATGCTGGTATTATCCAAGACAGCAAAAGTCCCTTTGCCTCACCAGTGATATTGGTGAAGAAAAAAGATGCCACCTGGAGATTATGTGTTGACTACAGATATCTCAATGGGTTAACTGTGAAACATGACTACCCTATACCAGTTATTGATGAGTTGTTGGATGGACTACAAGGAGCAAAATATTTTTCTAAAGTGGATTTGAGGTCTGGCTATTTCCAAATTCTCATGGAAAAGGAACACAGATATTTGACTGCTTTCAGGACTCACAATGGCCATTATGAGTTCTTGATCATGCCTTTTGGGCTATGCAATGCCCCAGCAACTTTTCAATCTTTGATGAACAGGGTTTTTAGAGACCTCCTGAGGAAAACAATGCTAGTCTTTTTTGATGACATACTCATCTATAGTAAGAGCTGGAAGGAACACTTACAACACTTAGAACAAGTGTTGTTCATACTCAGGGAAAACCAGCTTTTTGCTAAGAAGAGCAAGTGTCAGTTTGGGAAAGAAAAGGTGGAGTATTTGGGGCACATTATCTCACACCATGGGGTTTCAACAGATCCACAAAAGATTGAGTGCATGGTTAGCTGGCCCACTCCCACTAACCTCAAACAACTCAGGGGCTTTTTGGGGTTGATAGGTTACTATAGAAAATTTATTAAAGGATGTGGATTGATCAGCAGGGCTTTAACTGATCTTCTAAAAAAGGATCAGTTCAAATGGAGTAATGAAGCAGAAGGGGCTTTTCACAAACTAAAGGTAGCTATGGTCAATGCCCCAGTCCTAACTTTACCCAACTACACTCAACCCTTTATCTTAGAAACTGATGCAAGTGGTAAGGGTGTGGGTGCAGTACTCATGCAACAAGGGAGGCCAATAGCTTATATGAGTAAAATGCTATGTCTAAGGAATCAGGCCTTGTCAGTTTATGAAAGGGAATTTTTGGCTGTTCTTATGGCTGTTCAGAGATGGAGATATTATCTACAAGGCCATAAGTTTTTTATTAAGACAGATCAACAAGCCCTAAAACATCTCTTGGATCAGAAAGTCATGTCACCAGTTCAGCAAAAGTGGATAACTAAGTTGCTTGGTTTGGACTATGAAATGCTTTACAAAAAGGGGGCTGACAATAAGGCTGCAGATGCATTATCCAGGAGGGGTGAAGGTGCTGATAGTTGTCTGGCTATTACCAGTGTGTTGCCAATGTGGGTTCAAGAGGTCCAAAACAGTTATAAAAAGGATCCTTTCTTCACTAAAATCTTAACAGCTAATACTATCAAGGCCGATTCATATCCTGCCTTCACTGTCCAAAGTGGCATTGTCAGATACAAATGGAGAGTGGGCATTGGCAACAACCAAGCCTTAAGGAATTCTATCCTCTCAACAATGCACAACTCAGCTTATGGGGGTCACTCTGGGGTCTATGGCACATATATGAGATTGAAGGGTGCCTTTTACTGGCCAAGCATGAAGGCTGATGTAACTAAAATGGTGCAAACATGTGACACATGCAAGATGACCAAGGCTGACCACAACCCATACCCAGGACTCCTACAATCACTGCCCATTCCCAGTCAAGCATGGACTCACATTGCCATGGACTATATTGAGGGTTTACCCAAATTAGGGGGAAAGAATGTCATTCTGGTGGTGATAGACAGGTTCACCAAGTATGCTCACTTCATCCTCTGTCTCATCCCTTTACTGCCCCTACAATTGCTAAACTCTTCCTTGATGTCATCTACAAACTCATGGGATGCCAGTTAGCATTGTTTCTGATAGAGATAAAATTTTCACAAGTTCATTTTGGAGTGAATTATTTAAGTTGGCTGGAGTGAAGTTGAATCTCTCATCTGCCTATCATCCCCAAACTGATGGGCAAACAGAGAGGCTCAACCAATGTTTGGAAAACTACTTAAGGGGTATGGTTCACTCATGTCCTAGACAATGGATTAAATGGCTATCATTGGCTGAACACTGGTACAATACCAATTACCATTCGAGCCTCAAGACCGCCCCATTCCAGGCACTCTATGGCTACCCCCCACCCAACTTCACCATGGGACCTTACCTCGATTCATCTAATTTTAAAGTCAAAGAAGTGTGGCAACAAAGGCAGGAAATGACTCAGCAACTTAAAAAAAACCTCATTCAAGCCCAAGCAAGAATGAAGTGGTTTGCAGACAAGAAAAGGGAGGATAGACAATTTGAAATTGGAGAACAAGTTTTCCTCAAATTGCAACCTTTCCGACAAAGTTCAGTGGCTTTGAGGAAAAATGTCAAACTTGTTGCAAAATACTATGGCCCCTACACTATCTTGGAGAAGGTGGGAGAAGCTGCTTACCGTCTGGATCTACCTGCAGATTCACGCATCCACCCGGTTTTTCATGTGTCCCTTCTCAAACGCCGCCTCCAACCACATCAAGTGAGCGGCCAGCAATTACCTGAAACCAATGACGAGGGAACCCTTAAAATCGCACCTTTGAACATCATCGATCATAGGAACATTAATCGAAAGGGAAAGGATGTTACCCAGTTTTTGGTCGAATGGATACCACCACCGTTCGATCTGACCACTTGGGAAGATGAATCACTCATCCGGCGCCGATTTGACACCATTGATCCTTGCGGACAAGGATCTAAAATTGGAAGGGGTATTGTTACGGACAAGTGCTCAACAAAGGCGAA